GGAGGCGTGAATGGAGTCGTCAGGTGGTGTCGGTCTTTGAGGACGCAGTGCTGGATGCAGGTGACGCGCCCGCTGTTATCGATAAGAGCTCGGCTAGTCTTTCCTCGGTGGCATGTGTACACCTATTCCGCCCAAAGTCACGATACCCCTCATAACATGTCGGCAAGTTACTTCCAGGAGCGAGTAAACTCCGCTTCTCAAAACGGCTTGTCACCAGCTTCGCCTTCGGTAGGACCTGCTTCCAGAGGTGCCAATGCCCTCTCCAGTCGAATCACCAGCGTATTGTCTGCTTCGTACGCGGATCTGGAAATTCGGGATGCGTTAGAGACGCTTGATTCGCGCCAAGTACACAACTCAGCAGAAACGAGACGACAGATCCGATTAGACGTTCAGAAAGAAGTCATTCAATGCAATGGCGAGATCGTCAAGGATTTCGGCGAAGTTGCCGAGGTGGGTACTTCACATCTCCTTTGTCTCAATATACTGATTATGAGCAGCAACTAAAGCGTATTGGAACGGCAATCAAGAGCTTAAACAACTGCTGTGCTGATATGAGAAATCATATTGCAGCTGCAAATCAAGAAACTGGACCTGTCTTGGAGGAAGCCACAAGCCTCATTACCCAAAGGAAACAGGTCGAGGCCAAGCAGCAGATTCTACATGCTTTCAGTTCGCACTTCCTCATCTCCGATGACGAGGCAAACGTTTTGACGTCCACTGTCGAGCCTGTAAATGAGGATTTCTTCCAGGGCCTGACACGAGTCAAGAAGATACATCACGATTGTCAAGTACTACTTGGTACCGAAGACCAGCGACTAGGCCTGGAAGTACTGGAGCAAAGCTCGAAGCAACTGAACGCTGCTTTTCAAAAGCTGTATCGCTGGATACAGCGTGAGTTCAAGACCTTAGATCTGGAGAATCCACAAATCAGCGCATCCGTTAGGCGCTCTCTGCGCGTACTAGCAGAACGGCCTACCTTATTCCAAAGCTGCCTAGACTCCTTCGCTGAAGCAAGGGAAACCATCTTATCCGATTCTTTCCACGCAGCCTTGACTGGAACTAATTCAGAAGAACATATAGCCACCAAGCCAATTGAGTTTCACGCTCATGACCCACTACGTTACGTGGGCGATATGTTGGCTTGGGCGCACTCGACTACTGTGTCAGAAAGAGAGGCTCTTGAGAATCTGTTCATCTCGGATGGCGATGAGATCAAGCGGTCTATTCAAGCCGGCTTAGAGAGTGAGCCATGGCTAAAGGAGGATGGCGACAAAGAAGTATTTGACGGAAGAAAAGCTCTAAATCAGCTCGTCAGTCGAGATCTGATGGGCGTTGCACGTCTATTACGTCAACGCGTCGAGCAAGTCATCCAAAGCCACGACGATGCCAGTCTCGCTTACAAGATCGCCAATCTAATTGGCTTCTACAAAGGGACATTCGTCAGGTTGCTAGGATCAGACTCTGAGGTGTTGGACGTATTCAACACCTTGAACACGTCTGCAATGAGACAATTCCGCGCCAACATGAGGGATTATGTTGCCAACGTGCAAAGCGACCTCGCAGTAGCGCCTGCAGACCTATCGCCTCCAGATTTCCTAAACGAGGCTTTGCAGATGCTCCGAGTGCTCGCGAAGAGCTACGACACATCAGTTGCGGCAACAGATGATCAAGGACAAGGATTCCAGACTGTACTCGCTGAGGCCTTGGACCCATTCCTGAGCGGCTGCGAAAACCTACAAAAGGGGATGCAGCAGCCAGACAGTGCCATATTTGCTATCAACTGCCTGTTCGCAGCCAAGGAGGTACTCGCATCGTACAGATTTGCGAGCGAACGCGTCAGCGAAATAGACGAGACGATCGATGAACAAGTCGCAAACCTGACTGAATACCAACACCAGTACTTCGTCCACGAATCCGGTCTCATCACCCTGCTTGAAGCACTCTCCACAATAAACGACGCAGAAGAGAGTCTCAAGACAATACTAGACCTCGACCCCTTCAAGCCAGATGCCCTCGTTGCAGCTAGCCAGCAACTGGACGAGTTCCTGCCCTCCGCGCTCATCGATGCTTCGGAGAACCTCAAGAAGTTGCGCAACAGAAAGATGATACAGGATATCACGGAGGAAGCGGCGGGCGCATTTTGCGAAGACTTTGAACGCGTGGAAAGCAAGATGGTTGCGTCTGATGATTTGACTTATGATGAAGACAAGGAAGACGAGGAGCAGGAACCGGGGTTGAGAGACTTGTTCCCGAGAACTAGTGGGGAGATTAGAGTACTACTAAGCTAGTTGGACTCTTGTGTATACAGTATGCAGAGGTGCCCGAATATATTCAATCATCAAATCCGCGCCTTTCCGTCTGTCTCATCGTTCGCCATCGATTGGGTCATGAGCCATGGTAGATCGTCCCTAGATACATCCCTTATATCGTGATTCGTAAATCATCTCGTACTAGTCTGACTACTGCGGTCTCTTCTTCTCCCACTCTTCCGGGGTATGACATTTCGGTGTCCAGGCATGTATGGCCGCGATCTCCTCTTTCAATGCTGCGTTGACGAGCCGATGCCGTGCTAGTGTTGTCTTCTTGGTGAATTGTGGTGATACGATGATGGCTTCGAACATTTGCCCGCATCCGCCTGGTTGATATGTCAGCTTGATCTCGTGACCTGTTCGTTGAACCTCCATTGCCTCTAAGGAAGTCAAATATGACTCAGATGCCTTTTGTATTCTTTTTGAAGAGATGAATAGCCTTGACGAGAGACTAAGCGGGGCTGAATTCGTCGGCAAACCTTCCATCTCTTCATGGGAAAACACGGTGCAGGATTGGGTATCAAAAACCCCTCGACAGCTACAGCTCCATCATACAACCGAACCATAGACGAAAAAGGAAGATTTAAGTTCGATAGAGACACAGCTTGTACAAATTTTGGAGAAAACTTTGTATACATACCGCTCATATCCTCAATCTCAACCCACGTCGCCCCCAGCTCACTCTCCAACTTCCTCTTAATAGCCTCCGGCGTAACACCGGAGCTAGCCGCCGCCTGCGCAGCCTCATCATCAGTCCTTGCACTCATCGTTCCCGTGTTTTCAGAATCAATCGTAAGCTTGTCGAGAGTTTTGTAGAGTTTGTGTCGAGGATCCATTGATCCCTGGTGCTGAGATATCGGTTTTGGTGTTCCAATCTTCGGATCTGATAAGATTGGGTTTGCCGAATGGGGGAAAGAGGGATGGAAGGATGCGATGACGTGTGGGAGGAGCTTTAGAGGGGTCTGTGCAGCGGTGGGCTGTTGATGCAGGGTCAATGAATGGCTTCGGTTTAGTGGGGATTTTCGAGTGAAGAGAGGAGCTTCAGCGTGCATGTTGTTTCAAGCTGTATGTTTCTACCGACTATACAGCGATTTACTGCAATGAGTGCGACTACTACCTCTGCCCCGTTTTCTAGGGCGGTTGTGCGGGCTATGCGAAAGCTGTGAGTACTGCATTAATCCCAGAGAGGCTATCACGAAGCTTTGCAGCTTCGAAATCGCGATTGGAAAGGGTACTGAGGTTCTTTAGGTCACAGCTAACAAATTGCTAGCTACCCACAGGCTCTTGCAGACAACTCGTGGGACAACACTGGTTTGCTCTTGGAAGCACCGTTTGTTCCGTCCCGTCGCCAGTCGAACACCGTCCTTCTCACAATCGACCTCACAAAAGCTGTTGCCGATGAAGCGATCGCGCTCAACTCTTCGATTGTAATCGCATACCATCCAATTATATTCAGAGGCCTGAAGTCTCTTACGTTTGCGAACACACAACAACAGACGCTGCTACGCCTTGCTAGCCATGGCATTAGCGTATACAGTCCACACACAGCTGTTGATGCAGCACCCGGAGGACTAGGGGATTGGTTAGCGGACATCGTCACAGGCACCAAGACAAGTGACAATGAATCGGGGTCAGCGTCCGAGCCAGAAGACGTCAAGAAGGACGACAGCGACGAAGACCCATTCATCGAGAAGAAGCGCCCAACCTACACCTTGAACCACCACCCTAGTCAAACCTTGTTACGGCTCGCAGCAAAGCAGCCTTCATCTACTACGGTTACGGTACCGCACACACGTCGTCCTGTCGTTCCGCAGTCGCCAGAATTGGCATCGCACCCCGGCGCAGGCATGGGCCGCATCGTGCAATTCAACCAAGCCCAACCGCTACCTACCCTCCTCGATCGTATAGCCAAGGGCCTCAACAACCCCAAGGGGTTCCCAATCGCCATACCACAAGACAAGAACATTTCCGATATAAGCATACGAAGCGTAGGCATCTGCGCAGGCTCAGGCGCATCGCTGCTCGGCAACTTGGACGTTGATCTGCTGTTTACGGGTGAGATGGGCCATCATGAAGCTCTCGCAGCGATCGAGAAGGGGCAGGTAGTTATCAGTCTGTTTCATAGCAATTCTGAGCGGGGTTTCTTGGCGGAAGTGTTGCTGGGGCAGTTGGAGGAGACTGTTGAGGATGAGTGGTCGAAGGTGAGGGAAGAGGAGAAGGGGAATGAAGAGTTGAAGGAGGCGTTTACTGAGGAGGTTTTCGAGGTTGTGGTTAGTGAGGTGGATCGGGATCCGTATGGGATCGTGGTGTTGAAGGGCGAGACGGAGTAAGCGTTCCTGCTGTGGCAAAGGCGCTTTTAGAAGTATAGAATACCCGGAAACCTGTCATGGATAAGGATACATTGAGGTTCCAACGGTCAATTTTGGGCCCGTACGATCTACGGTATAGATAAAGAGGCGACCCGTCCAACGACGAGGAAGGCACTGCCCCACCACGGTTCCACTCAACAAAGCAAGGTTTTCTTTTTAGCCGATCCCACCCGTTCTATGTGAAACAACCGACCAATCGTCTAGCAATCATCACTCTCGCGCTCAAAGCTCCCTGCATCACTTCTGGCAATGACAGTATATATATTTATCAATTGCCCAATCTACCATCCAAAGTCAAAGCCACGACGAAATATCGTCAACATCCTCCGTGGCGCAATTGGCTAGCGCGTTCGACTGTTAAATTGCAGGCTTCTGCAAGTATGGCAAATCGAGAGGTTGAAAGTTCGAGCCTTTCCGGGGGAGTTTCTTTTTTTGCTTATTTGACGTCTCTTTTTGTTCGTTGTTGCACTTTGGTCGCGCGTAGTAGATTTCTATTTAGGGCTTGGAGAGGAGCATGCGAATATATTTACAGAGATTATGGCTACTGGCAAGTTGCCCTTTCCTTTTTTCTATTACCTGCGCTACACAGAGTAAAGTGAAATCGTGTAAATCTCTCCCAGACTAATAGAAACAAAATCCTTGGGAGATGTTGATATTGTTTTGAAAGGTTTGGTATATTGTCTGGTGTTGTTATGCTATGATTATTATAATAAGAGGACATTTAACACCGCGCATCCACACGGATAATAACACACTGCTTCGACATAGTATCATACAGCCCAAACTCAGTCACAGTCCTCAGGCAAATCTCCTCCAACCTCACCTTAACAAGCACTAATCCCCCGCCCTCCATCCCCTTCGTCCCAACTTCAGGATTCCCACTCGGTGACCGCTCCTCCTGCCCCAACGAAGGCACCAGTCTACTCAAGAAATTCCGTCTTGCCGGTAACTGTTGTTGCGCTGGCGAGTCAAACTCACTACTACTACCCCTCCCTACCCTCGTTGCACCTGCACCACCGGTCGGACTACGCAGCCGTGTACTCGCATTCAAACTCTCCCTCAGCACCCTCTCCAACTCGACAATTACTGCCTGCGGTCGCCAGAACTCAGTCCTGTTCATCATGCCTTCTAGCCGTACTACTTTCGGTTCGTCTTGCGAGGAGAAACCTATTACTTCGACGGCTTTGGAGTCCCCAGCGGTGGTCTCGAAACTGAACTCGGTCTTTTCCTCTGGGACAGGTAAAGGGATGTCGGAGGGCAGCATGGCAATGGTGGTTTGGGCGATGCCGTAGCTTGCTTGAGTTTCTACGAGCGGGATGATGTGTGTGTCGATTACGGTTTGGATGTGGTGGGCGCGGGTGAGAGTTAGTTGGTCGAGGATGTTTTGGCCGCGCGAGGGGGAGGATACGGTTTGTGGTGTGTAGTTTGGTGAGTAGGGTGGTGGGAGGTTGTCTTTTTCGTTTGCTGACATATTTGTGTGTGTGTTGAAGTTGAGGTTTGGTTATGTTTGGTTTTCTGATACTGCGCGGGAGTTCGAATTGAAGATGTGGTTATTGACTCAAAATGGTCGAGTGTGTGAGTGGCGAGTGGGTTTCGTAATAGTTGAGACTAGAGTGCTTCCTTCCGTAGACTCTCAGATTTACGGCACGTGGATGATCGCTCAGCCTTGCAACTACTGTAGTACCGGAAAAGATTAAGATACCTTGTCTGCTCGGCACCTCGGATTCGATCTACGGCGAAATATCTTGTGCGTAATTACTCGAGCAAGGGGAGTCCCAACTTTTTCTCGACGGCCAACCTTCGAAAACCATGGTATCCGTAAGCAGTGGCAAGATGCGAAAGACAATAACTCAAAACTCAGTTCGTTGACGGAACACGGCAGATAGGTACTTGAACACAGCGAGATTCTGCCTACTCAGCCTCGTATTACCTAGGTCATAACTGGTTCCAACGCTACAGTAGTAGAGCCTCGTGATCTTCGACCTTGGGCATGAGGGGAGCCAGAGAGGCGACTTTAGAGGAACCAGACCAATGGTACGGACTTAATGGTCAGGCTGGTGAGGCAGGCCGGGCCGAAAGGCTTGGCTCGAATTGGAAGATGTCTTGCAGGTGGTGTGAGACAAATAGGTAAGAACATGAGTTCAGAGGGGTTAATGGAGGCTGTGAGGCATTTGTTGCTGCCTGTCCCCGGTTGCTCTTGATGGATGCCTTAGTGCACGCTTCTCTTTGATGGGAATAAGGACAGTAATCTGCGCAGCTCTGACGATGACCGTTTCTCTCACCGAGCCAGGCTCGTTTTCTAGAAGACAAAGCTTCCATGATGGCCCAGGGTTCGGCTGCGGAAGTGCGGATCACATGCAGTGGCTTGGGGGAAGGCGCAAGGCTGACTCGCCTCCTTTCGGTTTAGCTTGGTCAATGCATTCACTACGACCAAAACCTGATAGATGCGTTCACCGGTGTTCAGGCGTGGAGTGTCGATTTGGTGGTCGCAGTGCAAAGAACACGAGTTAGGTCTACCAATAGGTCGCAGTATAAAGGTGCAATGATGGCGCACATTATGCCTCATTCGCTTGTGCATATTCCACACGACTGCCTCAGGTTTTGGTACAGTACCTGCGTTTCAACTGAGCGAATCCCGAGTTAGGCGTTGCAACGAATATTTTTATTTGTTATTGCCTTCAAGCGACACAGCTTCATAAGGAGCATATTCCACCGAGCACACGAAAGACCAATTTTACTATCAACCACCGCTTGACAGCAAACATCGAAATCATCCACCACATCGTCACTCTACGATTTACAAGTCGCAAAGATGTGGTATCATGTGGCAGAACCGAACTCCTACCTCGTCGTAACTGGCGTGGGGATAGAGAAAGTTCTGATCAAGAAGAAGGTAAAGCATTTCCAAACTTCCACACCAACATGCTCTCCATACTAACACTCTCAGGCATTCGTGTATCCTTTCCAGAAAGTCTCCAAGATCAGCATCACGCCTTTCGACTTCTCCATGGCCTTGCAGGCCATGACAATCGAGAAACTCAAGTTCTCTCTGCCAGCAGTCTTCACTATTGGTCCTGCGGATGATCTCGAAGCACTCGAAAAGTACGCAGTACTGCTGACTGGAGAGTCTGATGGTCGACCTACTCAGACTGCTTCGAAGGGTGCTGTCACTGTTGCCGAGGGACAGGGACGTAGCCATGTGCAGGATATTGTGAAAGGGATTATTGAGGGTGAGACGAGGAGTATCGTGTCTACTATGACGATGGAGGAACTTTTCCGTGAGAGAAAGGTGTTTCGAGACAAGGTTATTCAACAGGTTCAGTCGGAATTGGATGCCTTTGGTAAGTACACCCCTACTCCCTCCTACGATTTTGCTTATGATTTCCAGGTCTCTGCATCTACAATGCCAACGTAAAGGAATTGCAAGACACGCCAGGCTCCGAATACTTCCAGCTTCTCTCGCGAAAGGCTCACGAAGGAGCTCTCAATCAGGCCAAGGTTGATGTCGCCGATGCACGTATGCGCGGTGAAGTCGGAGAAGCCGAGAAGGAAGGCAAGACGAAGCAAGAAGTCGCAAAGATTCACGCCGCCACCGCTGTCCTCGAGACGGAACGTAAAGCAGAGAAGGCCGCCGCCGATGCTAAACTGACTGACAAGGAGATCCGCATTGGAGCCGACCTGAACGTTGCCAGGATCAACGCAAAGCGCGAGGCTGAACGCCGCGATGCCGAACTAAACACTGAAGTCGAAAAGAAGAAAGCCCTCATGGAACTCGAACGTCTTCGAGCAACCAAAGTCGTGCAAGCCAAGATTGAAAAGGAGTCCTCGCAACAAAAAGCCGACGCCCAGCTCTACGCCCAAGAGAAAGCCGCAGAGGGAAAGAAATACGGTGAACAAGCCGACGCCGAAGCAGCTGCATTCCGCCGCCTCCGCGACGCAGAAGCAGACTACCAAGCCAAAGAGCGCGAAGCAGAAGCCAGCTTCCTCGTCTCCAAGCGCCACGCCGAAGCCGAGTACTTCGCAAAGGAACGCGCCGCCCAAGCCCACCTCATCGCTCAACAGCGCGAAGCAGAAGGTCTCTCCGCTATGGCCAAAGCCTACGGCGACATGGCAAACGTCCTCGGTGGACCTCAGGGTCTCATGCAGTATCTCATGCTCACGAATGGCGTGTACGAGCGTCTTGCTGAGGCGAATGGAAATGCGATTAAGGGGCTGCAGCCGAAGATTAATGTTTGGAATACCGGGTCGCAGGGTGGTGAAGGTATGGCGGATCCCAGTGCGCCGATTAGGAATCTTTTTCAGAGTCTGCCGCCGCTGCTGAGCACCATACATGATCAGACGGGTATGGCGCCACCGAGTTGGTTGGCGCAGATGCCGCAGCAGCAGGAGAACGTTGATATGCAGAAGTTGCACCATTTGAGGAATGGCAGCGATGTGTCGTCGTAGGAGGAAGCTGAAGAGCGTCGATGGGATGAGTGAAAGAAAGGAGATTGGTAGGTCGTGACTAGGGGCTTTCGATTTGCTGAAGTGGTCTTGAATACTGTTTCCTATGTTTGCATTGTTGGTTCTCCCAATACCCAGGCGTTGGTCGCATGGCTGGCGTTGGGCAGGTCTGTCTTTCCTAGTGGGACTTCTTGTCTATTACTCATGTTGTTACTGTGTACGATAGTTAGACCTCTAGACTGTATCACTTCTGTTTACTTTATTCCGTTGTACAAGGGTTTGAAATCTTTTTCTAGTCTTTTGTCTTGAAACATAACATTTGATTAACGAGCTAGTGAAACCACAGGATGTCCTCGACTATGGGACTTTTTTCCTTTTGCTTAGCTATGGAATGTAGCGTGGAGTGGGGTATATCCTTCATCGCTAGTAGGCGATGGCGCGTGGGCCATTCTCATGGCTGTGGACTGATTTCGGATGGCACCAAAACGAGCTCATCTTTCGAAAGGGAGCTAGAACTCGTGACAAAATGTGTGGAGTTGTGCACTCATCGCTTGGTGCATAACCTGGTTGAACATCGAGACTGGAGACCATGCACGTCAGTAGATGTCTATAGACAATTCGATGCCAGTACCACGTCGATGTCTGAAATCTGGTTCGCTCCACTGCCGTAGAGTATTGATCTGAACAAAAATTTGAGCGTCCTTTTCAGGTCTCAACCTTTTTCTCGCCCTGCGCATCGAAACCAAGCGTCTCCAGCTGGCGGATCAGCTCATTGATCTTGATGACCTTCTCAAACTGCTCTGGCAGGAGCTTATCGCCCTTCTCTTTCTTGTCCTTCAGCTCTCGTGCCTGCCTCAGCTTCTTCGTAAGCTTCTTCGCTTCCTTCTCCTTCTCTGCTTCTGGATCCACAACCTTCTCCGGCTCAGTAGCTTTGGTATCATCCTTGCTCTCAGCAACTTTGTCGTCCTCCTTCCCGTCAC